TTTAAAAATATACGGCCAACTAGTATTCACCCTACTATAAACCTATCGCCTCCCGAGACTTCTATGAGAATGTCCCGGAAAATCGGACTCCAGCTGTGTTCAAGGTCATCCAGCTGTTTAAACAATGACTCATCAGCGTAAGATTTCACAGAAAGACGAGACAAAGGAAAATAAAATCTGAAGCTTTTTCTTCAAAATTAACGCATTTCTTTCGTTTTTTCAGTTTTAAGTATTTTTTATGTTTAATTACATTAATATCAAAAATTGCTAGAGTCCCAAGGAGTTAATTGCTTTCCCTATGACTTTTTCTCAAGAAAAAACTTTTTAAATCGTTTATTTTATCATTAGGTATTATTATAATAAGAGACAGATGTCATTGTTTCTCGAAATACAATATCTTTTTTATTTCGCTGTCGATAGCCGGACACGTGTTCCGCAGCCATCTTGTATTCTCTCGCGCGCGTGGGATTGTGGGATCCCTCGTATGACTGGATCTAGTTTCAAGAACTCTCTTGAGTCGATCGCGATTAAATCTCGTTTCAGTCGAGATTGAAACGGTCGATGGAGGTTATATGCGAACGGCGACAAGTGGAACATGGCGAACGGGGTATAAGGCTCTAGTTTAGTAGTGTTACAGAGTATAATACGTATATTTTAATATATTTTTTAAAAGAAACAAAACCGCTGAGAAATGTTACATGTGTTTAACAACAGGTTCGGAAAACTTTGAAAATGTTAACAGGTTCGGCCGAACCTGTGCGAACCCGCTGAATATCACTACTGCATACATGTATCCATACATTTAATGGGGATTAGTCTTTCCCTACACCACTTTCGCATAATGGGGCTTAGATACAATATTCTTTACAATGACTTATACTTTAAATACAATTATACAAAACATAAAAAAAAAAAACCACTGAGCAACTCACTCAGGAAAATTAATCACAATTTAACCCAAGCTACTTTGCTCTGTATGATCTGTATGATCTTCCTAAAAAAGGTAACAAGCTGCCTGTACGTCTGTTCATTCCTGATTAATTGGTACACACCACAGGGCCAGCATAACTCTTCTTCCAATACAACCATTTCGAGATAATGTCTTTCAGATGTCCCATTCCAAGCAGTCATAAATAAGATGGTCCAAAGTCTCCATCTCCTCTCTACATACACATTCATTTTGTTTATCCAAATGAAACATGCTCCTATATTCTCCAAGGCCATTGTGTCCCAAAAGACAAATCATAAGTTCACGCTCTCTCACAAACCACTTAAGATGGGAAAGTCTTTCATCAATATTTGGGAGTAAGTCAAAGGTTTTTCTCCCTTTAAGACTATTTGTCCAAATCTGTTGCCATTTCTCTATAATTTTACTCTTTAATGCTTCCTTTCCCCAGGACTGTGGAATTATGTTAATTAATTAAACACTTTTTCATTACCAGTGGCTGCTTCTTTGGCCAGAAAATCGGCCCATTCATTCCCATATATACCGACATGTGCTCTGACCCATTTAAATAAATTAGACCATGTTCTCTGAGTTTTGTCTGAGTACTAAAGACCTGCTGATGTTTACATTTACAGTTAGTAAGGGCCTGAAGAGCACTGCGACTATCTGTATTAATACAGACACCTTCTTTCTGTTCGTGTTTTATACACCATTCAACAGCTTTGTTTATGGCCAATAACTCAGCCTGAAAATTGGAGCAATATGCTTCCAATGTAACTTTGTCACTATAAATTTCTTCATTATGCTCATAAACTATGAAAGCGGCCCCAGTGCCTGAATCAGACCTAGAGCTGTCCGTATATATATCAGTCTTAATTAGGTCATTAGCCAGCAGCCTTACCCTACACTTTCAGCTGGGTGAGGCAGTTCCTTTACTAAGATTCATACTAATGTTCATTACTACATACTAAAGATTCATTACTAATGTTCATAATTATTTAGATCAATTGGAATATCAATAGATTGACAATATGTAATATCTTCTCTCTAACTGCAAATTTTCATCTTCAGATGGCCCTCCAAAGTTCACATCTTTTGGAAGTGTACCAAAATATTGTTATAGAGTTAAAGTTGGGTTGTCGAAAACTTTAACGACGACCTGCTTTTCTGCCAAAACTCCACTGCTCCCGTTATAAGTTTCAGGGAGGGATGGAAATAAATGTAATGACTTTGAATGGGTTTGTGCTGGACCAAAATAACATGCGATAAGCGATTTCTCCCTCTCACAAAGTGCATGATTTATTTTGTTTAATTTATTTTTAATTTCTCTTCTCCTTACTTTAACTAGCCCGACTGATTTGAAACTTTTATATTGAATTTATAGCTGTGAACTAAATTAATTTTAAAATATTTTTCAATAACATATTTAAATAGTTTTTAAGTAATATTTTTAGCTATACTATTGAACTTTTAAAATAGAACTATATAAAAAAAATATTATTGTTATTTAGTGGATATGTTAAAAGGACTGTTCTATAGCATTGGACAAGAAAGTGATAAACCAGAACAGTTACTGGAGGAAGTGAATTTTAATGGAATTTGTAATTACATTAAGAAAGATAAATGTAAGTAATATTTTTGCTTTTTTATGTAGATATTTGTTGCAAAATATTTAGTAATAATATATTGCCAATGCTTTTAGATTTTTTACTATGTTGTGCAGATCAGTGGTTCTCAACAAGAACATCAAACATTTCAGGGAGACTACAGAAAAATTATGAAAAATTAGTGTGTCACAGAAACTGTGTGCGTGTGTGCATGTGCCAAGAGGCCATCATAACTATAAGGGAATCATGTTAATTTACAAAGTATAACATAAATTTATTTTCTACTGTACAAATTAATTCTAAGTGTCACAGAGATTTTAATTGAAAATACAAAACAAGGAGTTGAAGAAAGGAAGGTTATGTGGTAAAATGAAACTAAATATCAGTGATCTACTAGAAATGAAAGTCCCAGAATGGATGGTGGATCCATTTGGAGTAAATGTAGCTAATGTAGATCTAGGACTACAAGAATGTCTTCCAAATCTGCAGAGTGATTCAGTACTTCATGGAAGATTTAGGAACAATCAAGACAATTTGTGGTTTAGCGTGGAAATTGAGGAAAAACATTCCCCTAGCTTTGGGACATGGTAAAAATTTTTTTATAAATTTTCCATGTTACTACCATAAATATGCATAGATAAGACAATAGTTGAATAATAAAAAAAGACCACCAAAATCCAGGGTCTTCTTATAGGACAGATACCAAAAAAAATTAGATTGAAATTTATATAAATTAAAATCATTATAAAAAAAAACAGAAAAACCGTAATTATTTATTAGTAGAGAGTAGGGTAAGTCCACAAAATAGAATAGCCCATACAACATTTTTGTGAATAGTCAAGGTCATTACTTGAATGTCTGAATCAGTGGGAATGTTTGCAACAATTACAAGGCAGTGCTGTCAGATGCAAGAAAGTAAAATTTGAAGTTCTTTCAAAAAATTACGAATAGGACATAATTCCGTATACGCTATACAGTGTTATTATCCAGATCAAGGGTGGGCAACCTTTTTTATAACATGGGCCAGAATAAATTTTACGTTTTTTCCGCGGGCCATAGTAGTTAATTGACACCTTGTGACCTGTAAATTTTTAGTCTGCAAATATGAAATAAATAAATAAATAAATAAAAATAAATTAATTACTACAGTCGACCCCCCTATAACACTGTTGATTATTCCGTTTTATATGAATTCCATGTTGTATGAGTCACTTAGATTTTACAAATGCGTGTGCCGGGCTGTGAACGGCTCACCTATTTGTAAAATTTAAGTGACTTAAACACAATAAAAACAGCACTATGTAGTTGGATACGACAGACATTACATTTTCTAATTGCATAGCTTTTGCACATAGATTTTCTTGATGGATGATGCGATGAGATATAAATAATTTAGAAAAATTCTGTTCTCCCATTTTTTGTTTGAATAAGGAAATGACTCCCTTATTTTTTCCTGTCATTGCTGCCGCAACACTTCAGAAAATAATATTCAATTTAAACTAGACGAATTACATCGAAAAATATTTATTTATAATTTCTTCTAAACATCTCGCGGGCCGGATAGAAACTCTTCGCGGGCCGTAACTGGCCCGCGGGCTGGGGGTTGCCCACCGTTGATCCAGATGATGGCTATTGATAGTTTGGAGGTTGTCTTATAGGACAGAGATATGCTAAAACTATAAAACTTCGACAAAAATTTATACCTCATCTTATCTGAAGGTTGTCTTATATATGGTATTTGGTTGAATTGGGTTTAAGTAGAATTTAATTTAAAATTGGGTTTTTTTTAATTGGTTTTAAGTAGGTTTAATATCAGATGAGGTATTCATCTGATATTAAAAGCAGCTAGAAACAAATTAGATATTGTGATAAGGGGGATATCTTTGGTTATGTTTAATGAATTTTCAACCAAATATTCAAAAACTTGCCTCTTCTCATCAGCTGCAAAACTCATATTAAGAGTCTTAATTTAACACTAACACTTACATTTTTAAACATTTACTTATTTTAAAATTAAAATTTGAATACTAAGGGTTAT